AAAAGAGTTTAAGGACAGACTCAAAGGAAACTTGAGAACAGTTTTAATTAGAGTTTGAAAGAAAAACTCCAGGCCATGAAAGCTGTAAATCTCAGCAGCTGCCTGGAGGAGGAGGAAGATAGAGATGAGAAAAAGCCATGCTGTTTGAGTTAAACCAGTCTGGAGGTCAGCCACATGGTCGACAAGCAGCCACATGCTGGGCAGGGAGCTTCAGAGAAAGAGTGAAAAAGCCCAGAGTCCCAGAGATAGCATACTTAGGCTCTGGCCAACATCCAGAAGAAAAGGCATCAGAGAATGGAAAAGCTGCACCTTTCTGGGTCAGGACTCAGGTAGGCAGATGCAGTGGAGCCTTATGCCGCTCAGAGGGACTGCTGACAAACTTGCTTTTAATTATCTTTTTTCTTTCTTTCTTTTCTTTTTAAAGTTTCCCTTCTGGGGGGTCCCAATGAAAAGTAGGAACCATTAGAATTAGAAAGCCTCAGCAATGTTAGGTTGAATGAGTGATTCTTTCAAGGCCTGGTCTTAATTTTCCCTGGGATGTAGAGGGAGCTTGGGTCTGAAATCAGATATAGATGTATGGAATTTGAACAAACTAATGTCAGTGAAATTGGAATCCTATTTTTAACCTGAAAAAAAAGAAGTTTCTGTGCACATCCCTCCCAAGTGTTTAAAATAATTCTAAAGCTTGCTTTCCCTATCTTATATGGATGAACGTTTCCATGCCACTGTTTACAGATTTGCTTGAATTATTTTTTTACTAATTGAGAATATCCTGCAATGTTAAATATGCCATAGTTCAACTGTTTCCCTATTGGCAAACATCTCTTCTCTTTCTCTTCTCTTCTCTTCTCTTCTCTTCTCTTCTCTTCTCTTCTCTTCTCTTCTCTTCTTTCCTTCCCTCCGTCTCTCCCCCAGCCCTTTTAAGATAGTCAACACAGTATAGTATCTTCCTTTGAGTGTATGAAAGGGCTAACTGTAGAAGCTTTCTAGATGCAGAACATCTATGAACAGGGCATCTTCATTTAAAAGTTCTACAGAAGCCACGAAATGGCTTTCCACAAAGGCTGAAGCAGTCCATGTGTATATTTCCTCACCCACTCATCTGCACTAGGTATTAGAAATCGTACTCATTGGGATGGCATATTTATATTCTGTTATTTTCCCTCTTTATGGCTATTAACCCTCTATCTAGGTCATAAATAATTAGTCTCTCATTGTAACTTTGTTTTTCTTTAGAATCCTTCTCATAACTTTCTTCAAACTGATTTTAGTTATATATTGGTTTCTGCTTATTCTTTTCCTGTTAACAATTACTTGAATACTTATAATCACTTCTGAAAAATTATAGTTAAGTTCTTTTATTCATATTGATCCCACACTTTTTATTACTGAGTCTTTTTTTCTGCCTGTTTTTATTAAAATTGAGGTATAGCTTGCATATTATAAAACCAGTCAGCATTTTAAAATACTGTATTAACTGAGTTTTAGTGTATTTTCAAGGGTGTACAATCATTATGAATTATCTTTTTCTTCTTCTGAGCTTGGCTTGAAGCCAGGACACCAGACAAGCTAGGCAAGTTCTCATCACAGAGGGATACTCTTAGTCCCAGCATGAGGGATGAGGCAGAATAAAATCCCGAGACCTGGTTTATTATCTTTAGTGAATTTGGATATTTGGAAGAGTCAGATCCTAGGGAGCCTCTGAGGAGATTGAGTGACTCTGAGTCACTTGGTGACTGAGATTAGACAGTCTCATCAGTTCTTCAACTTATAATAGAGAGACTTCAGTTTCCATGCTGAGAAACTCTGGGTTTTTGTAAAGGAGAATGTTGTATGGGAGGCACCACTCCTTGTGGCCCAGGTTCCTCATAGGTCAGCCCCTTAATTCTGAATAAAATAAATCGATGAAGAATTATAAAGGAGCAGTTCATTTGAAGGTTGTGAATATTGAGAAAACTCCCATCTAACTTATAGAGGTCTGTATATTTAGAGTAGCAATCAAGACTGTCAGAAGAGTCCCAGCAATCCCAATGGACAGAAACAAGTAAGATCTCCATTATCTAATGAGGCCTCCAGGAGGTGCTGTCAAACCCTCAAAAGACAGCTTTTGTCTTGGCCTCTCTCTGGTAGGCTGCTCTAGCATTGTGGCCTATCTCCTTGCAGATGCCTACCTCACCAAGAGAAGGATTGGGCCTTGGTCAGCAGCCACATAACTGCAAATGGCTTTTTGCAAGCAGCCAGTGAGGAAACATCTCTGAGACTTTGGAGATCATCTTGTACCTCCCACTGCTGTGTGAAGACAAGAATGACCCCACCCCTTTGTATTTGTGTACTCTGAGCAGACCCTGTGACTGTCCTGTGGAGTCTCTAGACCTGTCATCATCACCTGTCCTGTTATCATCAAAGAGAAGGCTCTCAGCTAAAGCACAGATCCTGTCCATTCAGCATTCTGTTGAAAGACTCTTAGTGAGGGTCTGTGGCCTTGGTCCTGTTTTTCCCATCCATCCTCAACTCTAGTTGTATATCAAACTGACTATGTTAGCATGAAGTATTTCCAGCAGCTTTCTCTTATAAAATATAATATATTATGTACACTGTAAAGTTTTTTATATACTATAAAAATTTCTCCATTTCATTTTATTGAGTCACAGTGAGATTAACTGTTCATTTTGTTGAATATGGTGAAGTACCATGAAATTGTCACAATCATTAAGGGGTATGTGAGCAACGCTAATGTTTGTCACTCATCCAAGAACATACATGGAAGACATAATCTTGTGTGTGTGTGAGAGAGAGAGTCAGTGAGAACAAGTATAAGCATGTGTGTGAGTGAGCTTGCCTGTTTGTGTTCATATAAAAGCCAGGGGTCAATGCTGGTATCTTCTTACAGAATTGCTATTCACTTTATTTATTTATTTTTCCCACCTTATCCTTTTGAGTTAAGAGTTTTCCACTGAAACTACCGCTTCCCTCTATCCCATCCTAAGTCCTGGAATTGCAGACATGCACTGCCATGTCTACTTTTGTGGGTTCTCGATATCCAAACTCAGGTCCTATGCTTGTGCAACAAGTACATAACCTACTGAGCCCCAGGAGAGAATCTTTGCTCGAAGGCTTTCTTTTAGTGTGGGGGCCTGTCTATAGTGGATTCATACAAGAGAGACTCCCATTTATGAATGATCTCTGTCACAAGGTATTTATATGTGACTCCACACTAGCACAGGCATATAAGAGGTTCATGTGAAAGAGAAAAACTACTATTGAAAATACAGTGGAACATTCTTCAGCTGGAAGGGAAATTTTGACAGTCCCAGAAGAATCTACTTAGTAACTAAATCAGAATATCAATAGCAGTGCTGTAAAGTGGAAATATAACATGAGGTATGCATCTGAGCTACAAATAGTGCTCAAAATTTCTAATAGACAGGGGTGTGGGTGTGGGTGGTGGGATGGGCAGAGATGGCTCTGTGGTTGGGAGCACTGGCTATTCTTCCATAGGGCCCAGGTTTGATTCCCACACGCCATCCAGTGACTCAAAACTATCTGTAACTCCAGCTCCAGGGCATCTAACACCTTTGGCCTCTGCAGGCATGCACATGCACAAATAATAGAATAAATGTATCTTTTTTTTTTTGTTCTGGTAACCAGATTAAAAAAGTAAAAAGAGACTGATGATACTAATTTTAATAATGAACTTTATATACTCCAAATATCAAAATACTATTTTAACATGCAGTCATATTTTATGTTCTTTTGAGTTTTTTTAAAAAAATTATCTTTATGTGTATGTTGTTTTGCATGCATGTTATCTATGTACCACATGTATTTCTGGTGGTCACAGAGGCCAGAAAAGGCAATGGGTCCCCCAATTGGTATTACAGATGAGTGCTGGGAATCAAACCTGCATTCTCTGGAAGAGCAGTTAGAGCTCCTAACCATCTCTCCAGCCCCACCCCCATTTTTTCTAATTGAATGTTTTCCCATCTTTTTATGCCTCTTTTTATGTTTAAGTCTTTAAATCCAGCATATGTTTTACATACAGCACATTTGAATTTGGTCTAACCACATTACCTGTGTGTGTAGTAGCCAAGTGTGGCCACAGCTGTTGACTGCTGTGGTCTACTATGTAGTCAGATCCTTTGCCAGATGGAAAAATTTACATGTCTTTAAAAGGTACAGACAGTCACAGCTCATGTAAATGCCCCAAATCATGGGAAGCTGAAGTCTTGACCTGACCCTAAAGTTAGTGTGGATGGCAAGTTCTCTATTCTGAATGGTAAATGACCAATGAGATGTTAGGTACTTAGGAGAATGCTTAGATTATAGTAGTTCTTCAATAAATGTTAGTAACTACGTTTTTTAAAAAGTTACATAAAAATTAGTAAATAATTTTTATTTCTAAGATTTCTTTCTAGTTCATAAGACTTATTTAAAAGGGTACCTTTTGATATATTTGTTCTATTTTTTACAGAATAAGGAAACACTTTAAAGTGTCATTCCTCTTTTTATTTATTCTCTTTTAATGGCTTTTGTTTTCTTTTAATTGGTGCCCTGGCCCACTCTTTTGAGTGGCTGATCCATTTCATATGTCTTGTTATATTTTATCGTTGGCTAATATTTATAAATGACTTGATCATTTATTCTGGGTAACTGATGTGGTCACTGGCTCATATTATGTGGGCTAATGTTTGCTTTTTTTTCCTGATTGATTTCCCCCAAGTGTGTGTAGGGTGGAGATTGATAGCTGTTTTGAGTCTTTGCCTATGGTTTTCTTTTTCATATATGGGTCTTGGCTGTGCTGAAAAGTGTTCACTTTTCAGTGTGGGTGGCAGACTCTCAGTGGCTCAAGAATGGTGGGATTGGAGGGAGGTGTAGCTCATCAGAATACTTGTGTGTCTGAGGGTCTGATTTCAATATCTAACATCACAAGAAGGAAAAGCAGGATTAGCATATTCATTTTAAGTCTGGGACATTTAGCACATTATTATATCTCTTTACAGGAATATGCCTGGTTTGATAAAAGCCCTTGTGAAATTATTACAAATGCAAGCACTAAAGGAAGGACAAAGTGGGGAGAAGGACATTCAGGATATATACACTATCAGGTAAGTCTTCTCTACTGTTGCTTTTCATTTAATTTTAATTAAAAATTACATTTAGTTTGCTCATGTGCATATATGTGAATGCATGAGTATGAGTGTGCATGTATATGAGTCTACATTTGTGGGTATATGCATGATTTTGTGCGTGCGTGCGTGCGTGCGTGCGTGCGCATGTATGTGTTCGTGTGTGTGTGTGTGTGTGTGTGTGTGTGTGTGTGTGTGTGTGTGTGTGTTGGTCTGTGTGTATAGAAGCTGGAGGATAACTTTTGGGAGTCATTCTCTCCTTCTATTATGTCAATCCAAGTATCAAACATACGACATCAGGCTTGGCATCAGAGCTATTTGGCTGTCCTTCTCTCTCCCTTTCTATTTGAAACAGGAATTTTTACATCATTAGCTATATTATAAACAAGATATAATTCCTGAAGACTTAAGTTTTTTTATCCAGTAGGCTATGCATGTAGCCATTGTGACTCATCATTCCTCAGGAAGTGACTGTTTAAAAGACACAAGGATGCAAAGAGTTGACAACATGCTGAGCATCCCAAGCATGGGTTTCAGGGTTGCTGCATTGGAACAGAGATCTGTTACTTAAAATTGAAATGACTTTTTTGCTCTAGAATATTTAACTGTCACAGTGTGTGCAATCTGGCACTTGCTAGGTGGAAGCAGAAGGATCAAATTCTGAATACAGGAGTCCTGTCTCAACAACAACAACAACAACAACAACAACAACAACAACAACAAACTACTGTTTTCTCTCAGAACTGAGAAAACTGAAGAGCTCATTGAGCAAATGTTTTTAAAGCCTGGGGGTTTAAAAGTGTGGGGAAGGAAGGCAAGCTTCTTCATCATGGAAAGTAATAGGAGACACTTGTTTGCAAGTATAGTTACCCAGGTTGAGGTCTAGTGAGGAATCATATTTGCTTTGTCTTTTTTTATCTGCAGATTGTGATAAGGTAGAATTGCTATAAAAAGAAAACACAAAGCAGTAAGAACAGGAGGAACTGGATTTTGTGGGGGGATTTTCTGGTAAAGAGGGTGTTGTACTATGTTTGTGCTGATGACCTCACTTATTACCTGCAAGCTCTCAGAAAGCCATTTCTTAACAGAAGGAGTTTCAGCAAAGGACCCGGAGGATCTGTATGTGACTGGTTCATCTTATCTCAGGAATTGGATACATATTGATTTTGTTTGTTTGTTTGTTTGTTTTTCCCAGGCGGGGTTTCTCTGTGTAACTTTGGAGCCTGTCCTGGAACTCGCCTTGTATATCAGGCTGGCCTTGAACTCCCAAATGCTGGAATTAAAGGCGTGCACTACCACTGCCCGGCACATACAGAATTTTTGTATTTGAAAGAATGAGGGCATGGGATCATAAATGGGGAGTTTACTTAGGGGTTGGATTGAGGATGGCTTACATGGGCAGTAGTGACTTGAGCACATAGCACCTGTGGTAGAGTTGACCTTAGGCAGAAGCTCTGTGGGCATGTCTGGATCAGTGTTGCCTGTGAATTCCCTTGCTTGTAGAGCTTTCCTCTTGGTGGTCAGTGAGTGACCAGTGTCTGGTTCTGTAATGTTAGTGTAGCCTAGGATCTTTTTCATTTTTGTGAGGGTATTTATTATCTAGGACTTCTCAAGTTATTTTTTAAAAAGATCAGATTTGTATTTTATATCTATTTTCTTGGCATGTTTCCCAATATCTTCAAATATATATATATATATATATATATATATATATATTGATACAATAATGTATTCTTTTTTAAAGCCCTGGCTGGTTTGGAACTCCAGTTGTAGATCAAGCTGGCCTTGAACTCACAGAAATCCATCTACCTCTCTGCCTCTTAAGTGCTGAGATTCAAGTCATTCATCACTACACCCAGCCTCACTGAAAATGCTGTGGGAAATTGCAATATACAGGTCAAGTTTTCCAAATGGATACATTCCCCATCCCCATCCCTACCTCCTCCCTTTCCTGTTTCCCTTTTTCTTCTATCTTTCGGCATGATAGCAATGCAAGGCGTTAGCTTGCAATTTTTTTTATTTTTTTTCATCTATTACCCTGAGCAGAGTTGACCCTGAAGATTTGATAAGTGGATCTTAGTATTTCTGGAGAGGCACTTGTTTTACCCCATCTTTAAAAGACATTCAAAATTGTAGTCTAAATTTCTGGGATAGAAAATAATTCTATGTCATTGTTGTTCTGTTATTTACTCATTTTTCTCTAGAGAAGCCACTAAGTTTTTTTTTTTTAATAATTCTGTATGACGGTTTTATTGAGATATAATTCACAGACCACGTGAGGGACACATTTAAAGTATGCAGTTCAGTGATTTTCATTCACAGTTATGCAATTATCACCATAGTCAAATTTAGAACATTCCTTCCTCCCCCAAAGAAATTCCTCATCCCATTAGCAGCCCGTTTATATTTCCCTCCTACCCATGAGGGTATTTTAAATCTTTGGTTTTAAATCATTGTCTGCTCATCAGAATCACCTGGGTATGCTTCAAAAGAAACAAATGTAGCACCATCCAAATATCTCATCAGGGTAGAGTCTCTGCTAGAAGCCCTACTCCTTTTTTAAATGCTCCCAGGTGGATCTGATTCTCAGTGAGTACATGGGGCAGCAGGCTGCTGCCTTGTGTGCACACTTCTTAGCCCTGGACCTTGCTTAAGTCTAAGCTGGACGCCAGAGGCCTGACAAGCACCCAGGTGATACTATTGCTGCTTCTGTTCCCACCCACCCTCACGAAGTAGCAGAGCCACCATAGCATGAGCAGTACCTAGGAACTTGGCAGGAGGCATCTACTTGACTTGCATTGTAGGCTGCCTGAATCAGAGACTGCATTTTGGAAGATTTTTGTAGGTACCACATGGACTCATTAATGTTTAAGAAGCATCAGTTTAGATGATGGTAATGTGAACTATTCTATTATACTGAAACATTATGGTTATTTTCATTTCCATGCTGGTTGTCCTTACTGTGTGTGACTGACGTCACTCCTCTGCCTTGCCTTGCTGTCCCCTCTATATTCACTCTGTCTTACAACTTGTTCTTCTACCCATGTCCTTATTTTCATAAGGCAGTAGGTGAAAGGTGTGGCTAGGGAGCCCAGTCTAAGGAACTAAGGAGAAATGGGTATGTAAAGTTTGCCTTGAAATAAGGTGGCACACTAAGGTCCAGAATCTATCATCCTGAGTTGGTAATGTTTATGTAGAACCCTTATGTGAATGGCTGTTTGGCATTATAAATCTGTAGCGTGTATTCGAGTGTATTAGAGCCTGAGTTTCCCCCAGAGAGAATTGTGGATGGTGGGAGCAGAGGAAAGGTAAGTCTAAAGTGCAGATTCCCCTCAAGAGAACTATGATTACCTGAGTCAAACATAAGATTGTCATGCTGTTTTGGAGCCTTATTTGCTAAGTGTTGGTAAGCAGTATCAACCAGCCTTGCAGAGGCAGCTGGTGAGCTCGATAGAAAGTGTGAGAGGGGCGTGAGAACTTCACTGAGAGGCACAGGATTAGTTTAAAGCCATAGTATAGCATATTACTTTTTGAGTGTGAAGCTAAGCTGTATTTTTCATGATATTAAGGACTTTGCTAGTGAATAACTGTATTTAAAAAAATGTTTGCCTTTTTTCTTCAAATGGATGATTATTTCGAGTCATAGTGACACAGAATACAGAATACGTGGCTTTTTTTTTTTTTTTTCTTTTTTCAAGTAGGGTTTCTTTGTAGCTTTGGAGTCTGTACTGGAACTCACTCTGTAGATCAAGCTAGCCTTGAACTCATAGAGATACACCAGCCTCCATCACCCAAGTGCTAGGATTGAAGGTGTGTGCCACCATCACCCAGCTAGAATACTTGGTCATTTCTACAGGTCTGTGGAATGGCTTATTGGCATGCAGGTGTGGGAGAGAATATGTGAGGACCCGGGCCCCTAGTGAAGCTGATCCTTCTGTTGGGCTCGGCATTCAGTTGCTGTCAAAGTCTATACATAAAGAAGACTGGAGAGATGCTTAGAACCACTGCTTCTTGTGCTGCTCACCAGAGATTCCCATTCATCCCCTAGTTTTCTGTGACTTGGGAGTCAGCATGTTTATCCAGTTGCTTCCTGATACAGATGTGGGACATTTTGTGTCTCACACTGAGAAAACCTTTCTTCAGCCCCCAAGAACATATGGTCTTCAAAGGCCAGGAAAGTTTAGCATAGAGGCCATCTTGAGTGGTTTAGCCCCACCTCCTTTCTTCAGTGTAGCATGTTTGCTCCTCAGCATCAAGGAACAAAGCTTTTCTTACCACATGTACAATGGAGAGGCTAGGAGCAGAATTGCAAGATGATTCTAAAGAGAAACCAAGTCAAAGAGCAAGCCGATGCAAAGAGAGAGAATGTAGGAGGCCATAGTTTCATTCAGTGACTTAATTCCATGGCTCTAATACATGCTAGTGTCTTCATGGTCATATGGTGGGTGGGTGGTTGTGGGAGCAAGAGAGGAAGAAAGTCTTAAATACCCTCTTAGAAACCCACACAGGTTGTCAGGGCTTCCTATGCATAAGGAGTTTATCCTCAGAGTTCTCCATATGTGGTTTTGCAGCCGGGGCCTGAAACACACACTATCTTGGGATTTGAGTACAGTTGACTACTGACTGTTCTTTGAGCAGCTGTTCTTAACTTGTGGGTTGAGACCCCATGGGATTGCATATCAGATCCCCTGCATATCAGATATTTACATTACAGTTTGTAACAGTAGCAAAATTATAGTTATTATTTTATGGATGGGGGTCACCACAACATGAGGAACTGTATCAAAGGGTTGTAGCATTAGGAAGGTTGAGAACCACTGGTTTAGAGAAAAAGCTTAATTGTTTGTGTTGCTAATGAAGTTGATCTTGCTCCACCTAAAGTATCCTTGTTGAGCTTCATAACTTAATCAAGATTAGACAGTTATATTTTAATAGGAATTCAACTGTTGTTACCTTTGAGGATGGGGGTAGCTGGGAGG